TTGATAAAAAAATTTGAATTATAAGAATTATTTTTTGTTTTTGTTCCTTTTTTCTACTTATTTTCATTTATTTAAAAACAAAACTTTATATGTAAATGTAAATTGAATTTTTAGTATAAAAATATTAAATCTCTAGGAGCTTAGAAGTCATATAAGAATATTGAAAAGATGAATAATCTTGAAATTGTTCAATTAAATGGATTTTCAAATATCAAATTCAATATGAAACAATAAGCGGCAAATTTTCCTTTTACCCTTTTATTGAGAAACACATTCACTTTAACGAGAAGCAGTCGCCTAGTAATCGTTACCATTTAATTTAGCAAATTTCCTTCAAAAATGAGTTGATACACTTATGTAAAGAAATAGTAGTTTATATCATAACTTGAACAAATTTTAGATGTTTGTAGAGTAAAACCAAACGAGGAGAACAAACATCAAAATCGAAAGAAAAGCAAAAAAAAAAATTTTAAAAAAATAAAAAAAAAATAAAACAATAGGTTATTAAAAAGCAAAAAATAATAATAACAATAATAATGAATGAATAATATTAATAGTACTTCGGAATGTGTACAAGTACTTAGAAGATTTACGATAATAAATATAAATATAAAACAATTTAGCTGATTATGTGTCGGTAGTGCTATTTATAAATATATATATATATGTACACTTACTTATATATATACCTATACATATGAGAGGAAATAACAATAACTCGGCAAGAAAAAAGCAGAAAAAAAATTATTGTAATTAATTCGTAAAGCGAACAAGGCTCCCAGCTATCAAGTAATTACAGAGAACTAACTTAATATTCTTAATTATACTAATTGTAGCGTTTAAGTTAAAAAGTAGCGAAAATATTTTATTAAAAACCAAAACTAAAACCAAAACAAATCTATGTCAACCTAATAAAAAAAAAATTATACATATTAGAAATTAAACGAATATAAATAAGAGAAAGATGACAAATATTCCTCGTTACCTTTTTTCCCTCTCTTATCCATTTCCCGCCTGCTCCCGCCCACAACAAAAAACAAAAAAAAAAAGAAAAACAAAACCTTTTATCTTTTGACAAACGCAAAGCAATTTTTATTACTTAACAGCGTAGCACTATTTAGAGTTTATTAGTTTTAATTTTCCTCTTTTCCCATTCGCTCTGGCTTTTTGTTGTTTTTGTTTTTTTTTTTTCTTTTCTTTTTTTTCTCACGTAAAATAAGTCTCGACATGTATAATTTCAAACATTCTCAATATTAAACATAACTCACCAGGGCATCAAAAGCTCTCGATTTCTCTTATTGTTTTAAATTAACTTATTTATATTAGTTCTATAAACAATAACAAGAAAAAATAACAAAAAAAAGTTTCTATCGAAAAAAGTTCCATTTCCCATATCATGCAAACAATATACAAAAATTACAAAAGAAAAAGCAAAACGAGAAAGAGAGAGAGAGAGAGAGAGAGAGACAGCAACTTTATGTATATTCGATACTCTAAACGAACTGCAGTAGATGAAGTAATTAAACAAACAACAAATGGCTGTACCTGCAACTTGAAGTTGGAGTGCCATACGAAACAGCAAAAAGAAAAAATAAAAAAGAAAAAAAAAAAAAAAAGAGAAAGAGAAAGAGAAAAAAAGAAAGCCTAGGGAAAAAACATAAGCTGCCTTATCAAGCTATCAACCGACCAACCAAACCAACCAACCAACCTACTAAGCAGCCAGCCAAGCTAGACAGTTAACCAACTCATCAGCAAAACAAATCAAGGATTTTTGCATTTATTTAGAAAAAATATTGTCTTTACCTTGATTTGTCTTTTTTTGCTTACATTTATCAGATTTTTTTATTTTTGTTTTTTTTTTGTTCTTTTTTTTGCAAATATTATTGTCTTTTTTCTCTCATTCAGTTTTAAATAATTTTAAATTAGTTGTAGTTTTAGTACTCACTTGTTTTTTTCTTTTTTTTTCTCTTCTTCTTTTCTTTGTCATATACCTTGAGACTCTTTGTGTGTAATTATTGTTTACTTTGTGTCTCTAATGAGCAACGAAAACATATATTTAACTAAAAAGTACACGATTACTTACATATATACATATATATTTATGTATATATATAAACTTAGTTTTAGTTTTGATTCAATGCAAACTTTTATTAGAAAAGTTTTGAATTGATTTCAATTAAAAATAGAAAAACAAGAATAATAATTAAAACATTCTTCTTCGTCTTCTTCTTCTTCTTTTTTTATCAAATTAACAATTAACGTGTTTAGCTAATAAGTGTGTTTAGCTAATTACATATACATATATAATAAACGCTTAGTGTATTAAAATCAATTTTTTTTTTTTCTGTTCATCTACATAATATCTATCATAATTTAGGTTTTAGGTTAAAAAATTTTATGCAAAAAACAATAAATTAATATAATTAAATTATTAGCAACGAACATACTTAACACAAGAAAAGTAGCTAAAAAATAATATCTCTAGTAATTGGTAAATGACAAATTGTTTACTTGCATACATATACAGACACACATACACCTAAAAAAAATATTTATAACTATTTTAAATTGTGTTTAGACACTAACCCCATATATATATATATATATTTATTTATTTTTTTTTTTAATATTTTAGTGTTAAGCGTAAGAAAAATTGATGAGCGTGTATGTGATTAATTATATGCGTAAACGAGAGAGATACAAAATTTTTTCTTTTCTTTTTTTTTCTTTGCTTTTCTTTTATGCGTTAACGAAAGAATAGTTAACAGGAATGATAAATGTACAACAACATAGTGTGCTTTACGCTAACCACATATGTACAATGTATAAAGTTAGTAAAATCATATCTATAATGCATACAAATAGAACACACCGGCACTCTGGAAATCGAATGAAGCGTTCGTTATAAAGAAAACAAATGGCGACTAATTACAAAACACTTTAACCGTTGCCGTTTAATAGCATCTTGTCGTATCTTCTGAGAACGCATTTAATGATTTAAAATCTCAAGATTCTCAATTTGCCCTGTGCGAGGAAATTCAAGCCCACATTAAAACAATAGTTCAATGACACATACTCGATTATTATTGTCATTACTATCATTATTGGAAATCATATTTGAGGGGATAGATCATTGTAAACTTTTGAAAAAAATCGATTTTCTCCTATTTTGTTGATCCATTACGTATAAAAAATGTTTTTCTTGAAGTTTGGGGATTGCCCGTAAGCAAAATGTCTTAGACGTAGCGACTGATATTACGATTAATAATTTCAATAACGAGTCATTAAAGTTCTGAATATGCTTATTGGGGTACAATCGTATAATTTTGACATTGAAACCAACACTAACTAACCGGATCAAGCAACTTGAGCGGTGCTTGACAGATACCTCAAAAAAGGCTGGTGGTGAGCATCAAATCTTCGGGCAGTTTTATGGCCCTGGAATCGCAGACTAATAGACAAAAAAAAGTAATAAATGCGATCTAATGTGAGAAAAGGCCAAGTTTATAACACGTGTTAGATCTTTCAACGGGCTTATCTTGAAAAACAGTTTTTGAAATCGGCAAGCAGCATAAGTCGAACAATTTTCATTTTTTGCATTCGAATTTTTTAGTGTATCCTCAAAGGAACAATCTCTAAAAAAGCGACTTTTTTTTTGATCGAAAATTGCATTTATTTACTCAAACCTTCGCCAATTACACAAAAATGAATATTTTCGAAAACCCTAACATGTTTCACCCGATATAAAAATGTAGATTAAATGTTTCCTTTTTTTAATCAAATCTGTGCCAATTACGCTGTTTGCCGCACAGCGCCTTCCACTAAAGATGTCTCCAGAGAATAGCTGCGGTGTTGCCAGTTTTTAAAATTTTCCAAAAATTAATTTTGTTTCTAATACTTAAAGGTAGGCTGGATAATCTCTTCAAATATTATTATTCTCCTACTTTTCCTTCCACCCAAAACAAAAAAAAAAAAAAAAATGGCCAAAGAAGCCCTTTCTTTCTAGGCTATTACAGCTACAGTCTATCCTCTTACTAGAACTGCAAACTCTCAGCTGAATGTTAATACAGTTGTTTTGAAGGAAAAAGTCAAAATTTAAGGCAATCTATCGCCGTAATAATTTCCCAATTATCTAAATAAACTATGCCCTAGGCTTCTAATAAGTTTAATATACTCTTGTGTTTTAACCATTTAAATTTGCTGTTCAATGACCTGTCACCTAATTTCCATCGTTCGTTTTCCTTATTTGAAACGGAAATTGTATGCATTGCCGACCGTCAATTGCTCTATTCTTTCCGGCATAATGCTTGGAAGAAGATAGAGTCATCTTTAGCAACATGCTTTCAACTGAGTTTTGACACAAAGTCAGAGATATTAGTTCAATTTACAATATGATCGTGAAGTGAAGTGAACAGATATTTTCAATCATTAATTAATTTCTTCAACTCGTTACGAGATTCAAGAAACGTCTGTCCCTACAATATCAAATACTGTTTTGATTTCGAGAGCTTATTAAACAAGTAACTAAAAAAACCATGCTTTCCAAACTTTGCCTGGATCGCACCTACTATAGTTAATTACTCTTACCTTTATTCTTGTGACGTGTTGTAATAAGTAAATGCCCCTATCTTTCTAAATCAAGGAATTTTTCTTGCTTAAACATATATCATTCCTGGCACCAAACTCACTTATTTTCTCGTTTTTTTTTTTTTTCTTCTTCTTCTTCTTTCTTTAGTTACAAAATATTAAACTCGAAACTTAGCGAACACTATATGTGACGTTTTAAGAGTTCTCATATAATTTTATTTATGTGTTTAGCTTTTACAGAGAAAAGAGAAAAATATATACTTAGTTCCTTTCTTAAACATTTATTTAAAATATTTATAACGAATTAGCGAAAATAACATTTAATACAAATTTGAACAAATTTTGAAAAATTGAAAATTAAAAATAATTATGTTTATTTTTTCTTTTTCCTTTTCAACGATTTTTAACACCAGCAGACAATATTATGTGGGGCCTGGGGACACTACCAGAAGGTAATTCTCATCTAGTTTACGCAATATGAAATATTTAAGCAAAATTTGTTTTAAAATTTGTTTAATAAAGGTTTTCCGGCGGCAGCTTATGCGGCCTATGCAGCCGGTCGTGGTTATTCGGGTTATCCTGGCTTCGGCTTACCCTATCCGACTGGTAAGTGCATTAAATGATCTCGCAATTTGCTTACATACTTTAGTTTATTGGAAAACAAACGCGTCGCTACTTACACTCACCCCTTTTATCGCTCTCTCTAACTATCCGCCAAATCTCTCTCTTTCTCTCTATCTTTATATCTAATATATATATATATATATATATATATATATACGAATATAAGTACAAATATAAGTATGTATACATGTGTATATATAAATATATCTATATATACATTTCATATATATATATATATATATATATATATATAAATCTTCATCCGATTGGCCTTTCACTATATATTTTTGATTTCCCTACTGAACACTCTCTAATTACTTGACAAGTAATTTGTTTGGCTTTTGTGTAACAATTGCTTGAATAATGCACGTAATAAATATTTTAAGGTCTTTTTTTATTTGAAAATGTACAAAATGAGAGAATTAACTAATAAACAACCATCCTAAAGCAAAAATTTGAATCATTCAACACGCAACACTTAAAAGCGAACTCCCACTAAAAGCTTCCTTTTAAAATCAAAAAAAAAAAAAAAAAATTAATAAATAAATAAATAAATAGAATAGAAACAAAACTTTGAAAAATAAAACCCTTCACATATGCGATATGGCGAAAATCAATCTTCAAACAACAATTGCTTTAGATGAAAACTAAAAGAGATAAGAAAATTATGTATGTATGCATCAATGTGCAATATTAATATTTTTCTTGATTTCATTCCTTCGCGTTCATCACAACTATTACGCAAAGATATTTTTAGGTTTTTTATTTACTACGTTCGTTAATAGGAGGAGTTTATAAGATTTTGCATTCAATCGAACGATTGGAAAAATTCAATTCTGTCCACTTTAAATAAATTCAATGGAAGAAGGAAAGCAAAATTGCTTTTCTCACCAATTAATCAATATTTCAAGATTTACGTTCAAGAGCGGAAATCATTTAGGATTATTCGCGGACATTTTTCACGATAAAACTTTTGTATTCAGGTTCTCTGCTGACGAGTAGTAAACTAAAGTATTAACATTAACAATAATGGCAATAATTATAATAATAATAATAATAATAATAATAATTGTAATTACAATAAAAATGGTAATAAATATAATAAGAACAATAGCAATAATCACAATTATAATAAAAATAATGACAATTACAATAATAACAATGAGGATAACTTACATCATGCATTAAAATTTTATCCGTACTATATGCTCTCAATGCAAGATTGTACAATCCAAGTATGTACATGTATGCGTTATTAACGGTTAGGCGCTAACTCTCCTTCTCATTAAACACAACTCCTATAAATTTGAAATCAATTAGTTGTTTGCGTAATGTATTATATATATATATATATTTTTTTTTTTTTTTTTTTAAGTTTTTTTCGCACGTACACTCTCCTTTTTTCCTTCTTTCTATCTCTTTTACACATCCACATTTTTGCTTTCTTATTCGCTGTTTTCAAAAACTCTCGTTTTACGTTATTATGTATATACGTGTCAGCGAAAACCAAAATTTAGTATTATAAGTACGCACAACTCTCTTTGACACGATAGACGCGATCCTTAGAAATCCAAAATGAGAAACAAGTACCTTGTAAAAAATACAAATACGACATAAGGTAAATTTGATGATATATTGCATAACTTTAAAAAATCGTGTAAAATGCAATAACTGCGTATATTTTTTCAAGAAACCGCGTAAAAACAAGAAAATAATTAAATCCACATTACTTAATTATAATACGAAAACCATTCATTTTTATTACAAACAACAAATTAAAATTAGTATACAGTGAAATTTGGGTCGATAAGTACATACAATATGCAAAACTTTCTCTTTGCTCGGTGAAGGGTGCACATGTATATTACGAACTGGATCAAAAATGTTATCATATATGTCGGCTATCTCCAACACCAATACATGTATGGGCATAAATCTATTGACTTATGACTACAGTATTCTCTCAATTGCTGTTGTGTGCATAAGTTTTCGCGAAGCATTATCAGATGGGAATTTTTTTTTTCGAGTTCGTGTTCGATGAAAAATTCGTGCAAAAAAAGTGTATTTTCTGTCATTGATGGAACATATTACTTCAAAATTGTGTAAAAAAAGACCGTGTAAAAAAAGATTTGCGGGTATAATGCCGTAAAATTAGTATTGCCTTGACGTTTAGTTAAGGAGCGCCCCATCTTCTAATTCTACTCCAACTGCTTTGAAACTGTCTTCTTTCTATTTCTCTTAACATATACGCATTTACTTTCAAGGCCCATGTAATCTTTTGATTATATATATACATGTATTCTCAATTGTTTCTTTAAGTTATTTATTTTTGAATAATTGTATAAAAATAATAATTAAAAAATATTTATTTTTATTTATGAAGTGAAACAAAAAAATGAAAGTAAAAAAAATGCTGATTTTCGTCATAATTCAATGCCTAATGGAAAAAGGGTTTTATTATTTCGTTTCCTCCTCTTTATTACATATATACCTCGTACACTTACCCATACACACATATGCGCTTGCATACAAATATATAAATGCGTATATATATATATACGCATATATATATATATATATGCATTGTCTAACTACATCCTATCTTCAATACCACCAGCCAAAGTAAACACACCAAACTATAAAAGCAAAGACGAAAAAAAAAAAACAACAACAACAGCAAACAACCTATATTTGTGTATAATTTTGTAGGCTTGACAATATGTGGCATCGGTAGAAGTTTCGGTACGTGTAGTACGAATGCAGGCAGACGGCCTGGTACTGGCAACGGTGCCGGTAACCAGCCTTCAACAGCAGGATATGCTGCTCATCAGGCGTTAACTTTGCCTTTAGCGACCGCTTTAACACGCACAGCTGCTATTAAATCGCAATTCCTGGGCATCAACAACTTTTAATACGAAGTTCTTGAGTAGAAAGAGAGTATTGTTTTTGTCAAATTATACAACTGAGAGAAGAGAATATACAGTGTCTCTCTGTATGGTGGTGCTCCACTCACCAAGGCCATTAATTTTATTTGAGTATTGATATTGATATGATGACGATCGTTCATATCGAATCGATTTAGTAGAGAAATAAAAGCAATTGCCAAAACCAAAAGCAAAATTGAACCAATAACTAGTTTAGCTGAATTTTGTTTTTAGCCAAACCACGTTTGTAGTGTAACATTGTTAGTATTGTTGTATTTGTCTACATATGCATAAATATATAGAAACTCTTTTCGCTCTTTCTCTCTCTCTCTCTCTCTCTCTCTCTCTCTTCCTCTCTCTATGTCTCTCTTCCTTTCTTTCTTCCTTTCTTCCTCTCTCTCTCTCTCTCTCTCTCTCTCTTTCTTTCTTTCTTTCTCTCTCTCTCTCTGTCTTGCTCTCTTTGTTACATACATATATGTACTTGCAAATATATTTAAAAAAGAAAAAAAGCGAAAAAAAAAAGTATATCCAGCAATTTTTTATTACAAACTTATTATTAATATTTAACTTCAGCTCAATTGTAGTGATGTGTTTTTTCGATATATTACATACGTATAAACAAATATGCATATAGTCTGTGTAGTCTGTGCGTGTAAGCAATTCAAACGTCAGTTAATTAAAAGCGAAAACTTTTAAATATTTTACAACGAAATATCATATTCGACAAATTGACGTTTGTTGTTTCAAATGCCAATTAGATGTTAGCGTTAACTCGTATTCTCTTAAATATTTACTTACATACATATATAGATAGTTTGCTTAGCTGGCAGTTAGTTAGCAAAGCAATTATGAATAATAAATACTTAATTAAATCACATTTTTCTATATACTTTATATATATATATATATAGATCTATATACAGATATCTGTATATATATATATATATATATATATATTTATATAACCCACAGCGTAATTAACGTTAATAGTTATTATCAAAGTAGAGATCCAACCTATAACATCACGTGTCTTTCCATCGATGTCTTTGGTGCACTATATTACATAGAGACACAAAACGAGAGAGACAACAAAACGTGATTTGCAATTCAATAACTAAAACAATAACCATGTAGTTGTAGTATATATATTTAGCATTCGTACTAAACGTTCGTTCGGTCATTCGTTCGAGCACACGTTCCGGACATTCTTTTTCGTTTATTTATATATACATCTTTTTATTAATTCGTCCTCTCTAACAATAATAGCCATTATTTACAAACACTTGTCATCATCACTCATCATTAACATTTATATTTAGAAAAGAAAGTAATCATTATATGTAGTTCAGTAGTTATAATTCTTTAGCAATATAATTACTTACACGTTAAACATGTTAAACCTCGTACACATATATATATATATTTATATAATTATATGCACATATACATACATATATGCCTTATATAGTAGATAGCTGCTTTCTCATCTAAAGAAATCTCTTTCCTCTGCTTTTCTTTCTTCAGCGTGAATTTCTTTATAAAGTGTGGTTGATAAGCGGCTCACTTAAGTAAATTAATCGCGTCGGTAACTCGTGGACGTTGGAGGTCGGAATATCTCAAAATATATTGAGCATAACTTGCTAAATTTTCTTTGTTTTTTTTTTTTTTTTTTTTATGACAATTATCAAAGAGAAAATCGGATTTGAATTAGAAATTTGAGACCTTCATAAAGGCTTTCATTGGTAAACCTAAGTATCACTATATCACTGGTAATTATCGCAAATATTTTGCGCCAATCAACGATACGATTTTTTTTTTTATTTGCTTTTGAAAAACATTTTTCATCCGCCTGAAAATCGGTCAGATAGATTTTTCATCAAATTTTGTACAGGTCCTTCCTTCCGCTGTTTATAAGCTAAACAAACATGTCTCGAAAATATACATATATATGTATCTTATAAGTAATGAGTAGAAAATTGCAAAGTCTTTGTAAATTAAAATTTACCTAAGATAGATTTGCTGATACATTTAGATATGTCGTTACTTTATAACTCGTTTATCATTCAGTATTATTTCTATAGCCAGATGACTCGGAAACACAATCACTATAACAATGTAGTCACGCTACGATCTATGACATGTAATATGATGATAATGTAAAATCAGGAAACATTTATATAAGAGAACAGGATCCGATAATGACTAGAATTATGCCTACCAAAAAAAAAAAAAAAAAAAAAAAAAAGCTTAAATCCATTTCCCTTAACATGTACAGTTAAGGGAACAATTGTAAAAACAACTGCTTAAAGAAATTATTTTTTCTGTTTCTAGCATTGTCATTGGCTTGGATGAAATCGTAATGCACCCTTGTTGTCCTTCAAAGCTACATATATCGTTTGTAGTTAATCTATAGTTTTTGTGCTCTTTAATACTCAATGATTTCCAAGGTTATTTTTAAGAAGAACTTATTAACTTTTATCTAATGATTTCCAACGCAACGCATTTAATTTAATTACTCTTACAACATGTACATGAATACTTGTTTTCTTTGAAAAATGCAGTGGTAACACACTGTGACCTAATCGCGCTACGAATTATGGGTGAAGCCCATCCTCCATATGCTCCTCGATTCGTGATTTCGTGCCCAGCTTCTCACACTTACTAGAGTAAGCGAAATTTATATATATCGACATTGAACATACGCGTGCTGCACATTGGCATTTGTTCGTGTTCATGTTGTCCGCATATGGATGGAATCGATCAAATTTTCCTCCTTTTTTTCCTAAATGTACAATATTTCACTTTAGCTTGGGTGTATTTTGATCGCTTTTTGATCGCTTCGCCATTGTTTCTGTTTTTACACCAGCTTTCCACAATTACCACAAATTCTTCGATCCTTTTCATATTTGTCAAAAAGAAGACTTTTAAGGAATTCAATTATGGTGTTTAAATGTAGATGCTCCTATAAGAAGGCATGCCAGCTGAACATGGGCAACACCTGCCTGTATTAATTTAAATCGGTTAAACGGTTAATGTTAATAATTCTGCCGCTTAATCGTCTTCGATAAGGAGATGCAAAACGTGTATTTAGTACAAAGGGCTCTGGATTATAACTAAGATGATATATTAAAAATAAAGTAATATCTCTGGCCATTATCGTCACTAAGTAGGCGCCATGGACGTGCTCTTTAAGAATAACATTTGGAAAGCTATTCCGCACGACAAGTACCGACTGTATACAGTTTTTACTGCCATTCCAACCATTCTGTTCGCCCTCTAAGTATAATCACCGTAATTTATATTTATATCGGCTCCACTTCGATCAGAGAAATTATATATCGAACTTAATTGTGAATTCTGTAGCTTTGTGACTATTCATTTCCCACCAACTGAGCGAGATAAAATATGATCTCTTTAATTCTATTTCTCTCATACAGCATTTATCATTCCGCATTTCAATCTTGTAAAAAGAAAATAAGACCTATAGAGAAGATAATCTTAGTTGTAGTAGTAGTTGTAATCACACATAATTGAGAGTCAGCGTTCACCTTTGCATTCAGCCGTTTACGGCAGGCAGTTGGGGAGTAATCACTCACCCTATGACAAATTTAGCTTTCGTAGCTGAAAGTTAGCTTTCGGTTTTATATTCAGACGTTGTTACTAATCAGCTGAATACAAAGACGAAAGTTAAACTTTTGACTCTCAGTTACATGATCATTCTCTAGTTTTATGGTTTATCGATTACAAAGAATCGAGTAATCGAAAAATTGTCAAACTAACTATGGAGCTAGCAGATTTGACGTTCCTGCTCGACAGCTAGAACCGCGTACATTAAATAATTTAATTTAAATTTAAAGATTTGATGAATTTCTTATAGCATTTTTCTGCTAAATTTTTTATTAATAAATCTACTGTCATACTATTGCTATTGCCATACTCCAGTTGGATCAAAACGCTTTTGTGGTGGAACTTTATATCGATGGGTGTATCTCTGATGTAAAATACAGGATTTGTAACTAAATGCTTGACACTTAATCGCACACTTTTCGCCGTTTATGATTACAGGATTTTGGCAATGTCATTATATACTTTTTAGTAGCTTTTTGACATAAAGCGCTTCTTTAGCTGTGGAAGATAATGCCATGAACTCCGCCCGAGTGGAACTTAAAGCAATGGTAGAGACACGCGTCCAGGCAAAAAAAAAACATATATCTGTTATAGGTCCACGCAGTTAGCATCAACCGAAGATTTTATCAATTAATGATGATTGATGTTTGGTTATATCTCGATTTCAGATGCTTGATTGTATTAAGACTCAATATTCTCTCTCTATTTGTTGCAGTCATACGCTCACAGCATGGAGCATTATTCTTTTTATTGCAAAATGTCCGAGCGAGCCAATCAGTGATTGATATAATTTGTTCTCAACTTTGTCGAAATTATTATTATTTACATTTATTATTCAAAAATATTGCCTGTCGCTAGGCACTACTTCTGCTATCTCTTAAAAATTACATGAATTCCGTGCGAAATTACGAATAATTACCCTTTTATGGTTACCCGGAAAAGATCCTCGATACTGATTACATATGAAAAACTTGGCTTTGACTTTCATTTTCAACTATTTAACACGAATTTGCTGAAAGCGAAAGTCAAATTTTTCGTACGTAATTACCCATCTGTATTCGGGTATCGTCGCAACAACGCAGGCTGGGCTCGAACGGGGATTAATAAGTCGCCTATTAAAAACCGTATTTGTCGAAACAAGCAATGTCTACTGGTGGAAGCGAAAAGGGGCTGCCCTCCTATTCGAAATTGAAATTAACCACTATTTCGTGAACGAGTTTGCCTACATGGAATCGAATTTCTTCATGCCGAAAATTCACGGTATCCTAATTTTTCGCAACTTCACTACTTCTTTCTATTTTCTTTTGTTCTCAGCTAATTAGTCTCCTTTGAACCTTTCGAAGGAAATTTTGCAGCATTTGTTGCGCAGCCACTTTATTTATACAATTCAACGTTTTTGTGTAGAATGACTTGCGATAAATCTCTGCTCAAATTAATTTTAATTACCTATAACCATGGATTTTAATTTTGAACTAATTTTTATAGAGATGAAAATTTTAAATAAACATTTAAAGGAATATAAAATTTGTTTGTCGCATATACATATATAGCAATTTGCATATTGGTAGTAAAGTACGTCTAGAAAGTAAGGCCACTTATATATACATAAATTTGAATCCTCACATCTGCAATAACATTTCATGTGATGTAGTAGTATAATTTAATACTATTAGTTGTTTAGTTCGCTGGGGGGGGGGGGGGGGGGGGGGGGGGGGGGGGGGGGGG